GAATGTTCGTTCACCTGTGTCATTGATGACATCACTAGTTTGGAATGTTCTGAAAATGGAATGTGATGTCACAGGGCACAGAAACACTTCAAAGCACAATTATTATCCAGCCTTAAACGTGTCATTAGTCTATGCCCGTTTGTCCATCTGTCATTCAGTYGATGTCATTCTGGTTTTTAGAATCGTGCCATTCCATTCACCTTTACTAAGGTGGGGGGGCTGTGGGGGTCAGGACGAGAGAACGTGACAGCTAGCTTATTTTGACAACATTTCTGATGGTTCTAAACAGATTATGTTTTGTAAAAAGTAAAGTTTCATGGCACACACAATGATTCATGACATATTTCATTTAAAATGATCAAGTCAGTTCAGTCTGGGACTGACTCGTGTTGTCTCTCCCTGGATCAGGAAACGGAGCTGTTTACCGCCGCCTYGGCTGAGCTCTGTCCGACCCACACCACACCAGCCCCGGACAGAGGAGGAGGAGCGCTCCGACAGCCTGACAGAAAAAAATAAAAGCATACAGCTGCAGCTGCTCACATGATCRCTRGWTTARATCAGGAATAAAAGTGTTGGGTCTTGTTTGACTGAAGTTCAGGTCCNTTTTTTCAGTTTCAAAATTGTTTTTCATTTTCAAATCTCCTTTTTTTAGGTTTCAATTTTTTTCATTTTGAACAAAAGTTATGACCCCAATTTAGCTCCATATCAGTCTGAGTTATTATCAGACTGAGATAAATTGGTTCAGTGTCATTGTACAATGTTTATATTTTTTAGGTTTCTATTGTAATTTAGTTCCTTTAACAGAGTCATTTTAAGCTGAAGAGAAAACAACTGTTTCTAAAGCCACTTCTAAGAACCTGTTTGTGCGTGTGATACCTAAAGTACCACCATGGCAACAGATCTCTGCATATTAAAAACATAATAAAATGATCATGATTTAGTAAACAATTGTTGTTGGCTGAGCACACTGTTGATWATGTTCAAGTTATCAGGAATTTATCTACACTTCAAGAGTTGTCTGAGCAGCTCAGGCTTTCAGAAAATCCTCAGGTGATCAGGGCTCTTTATTGTACAGTTTCTCCCAGTTTCTAAAGATTTGTGACTCTCTGTGGTTCTGTAATGTGTGCTGCTTTGACAGAACTGCTGGACAGGCAGAGACACGTGACTCCTCCTGTCACCATTAGCTTCAATTTAAATTCAAGTGTCTGTGAACAAAGCTGAGCTATAAAGTCCCACAAAGCTGTCGAGAGTTCAGTGAAGCATGAACACTCTGGAAGAAATGTGACAGATGGCATGTTTTCTTTTTATAAGAGAATAAAAATAACGTTTTTTTTTCTAGTAAAAAAAGAAAAATTTGGTTTTAAAATAAATAAATTACAGTATAAGGTTTTAGAATTATAATGTATTATTATTGCCTACAGCTGAAGTTGAAGCAATAAAGTTTTTTGTTGGTTTTTGTAACTATCTGAGTTCAACACTTTGAATTGCATTAATGCTTAAAACATTTACAATACCTGTTTCCAACACACATCCTGCAAAATTTAAAGTTTTACAGCTACAACTTAATCATTTCTCAACATAACAGTCTTACTTTAAAACTCTGGCATGAAGGTTATGTTTCCTTCTAGGATTTTATTTGACAGAATTGTGTGTTGGGATAAAACATTTTTTTTTTGTTTTGTTTTTTTCAGAATATATATTTTTGATCAAGCTGTTGAAGCTCTGTGTGTCAAAGTCAACATAAATGATTTTTTCAGACAGTCAGAAAATGTATTAGTCATATGMAATTGTATTTTCAGGTTAATATTAGAAAACAGCACAACAGCAGAGAACTGAATTACAGAGGTAAATATTCAGCTGCTGAGTTCTGCTGAAGCAGCTTGTTGTATCCTGACTGCATGTTTAACAACAAGGATGGTTCCTTTTTAAAATGCATCATTTTGGAAAAAGTCAAAACAGATGTAAGAGATAAGAATTTAAGTTTGTATTAGATGTTTTGTTAGGATAAATAAAATGTGCAACAAGACAAACAGATAATCACACAGAACTAAAGKTTTATCATTCTGTGAAAGAAAACAGATAACAACTTTCACACTGCAACTAGATATTATATAAGTGATAGCCATTTTGGTAAACCTTGCTAATATTATGCTTGGCTTTATAAATTATTATGATACACATATGATCTGCTAGTGCTCAGATTGTGTTGTAAAACAGTGTTTTTCATCCCTGGTCCTCAAGGCACACTGCACGCTGCCCTGCTTTGACACACCTGATTCAGATGAACAGGCTTTTGTTGAACYRCAATCAGTTACCAATTGAAATCAGCTGTGTTGAAGCAGGGAAACATCTAAAACAWGCAGGGCGGTGTGCCTKGAGGACCAGGGMTGAAAAACACTCTTKTAAATGACTGTCAGCTACCACAACACCAACCTTCAGCTCAATATTTAATAAATTGTTTGAGTTGTAGTCCTTTATGTGTTTGCTACAATTGSTTTTGTGTTTTGTAAGGTCASTTAGCTGTGGTGCCAGTTGAAGTGAGTTATAGATGCCAACCAATCATTTTTGTGAAAGTTTAATTAAAATATTTTCAGTGGTTCATGTGATATTTTGCKGTCAAAAACAGACACCATTATTATATTATTGCTTTGATTTAAGCAGAGGCAAAAACATTTTTTTTTATCCATTTAGGTACTTCAGTACAGTATACACAGTATACGCCACCAGTCAAAACTTTTAGAATACCCTCATGTTCATTTAGTTTTAAACCATTTTAGCAAAAATGGTCAGTTTCTTTTTATCTCTTCTTTGTGCTCCACAGTTTTCTGTGTTCTGTCTGGGCCCACATCCTACTCCAAATAAATCTTTARACAGAATATCTCCTCTGTTGGATACAGCAGGTTTTGCTTGACACATTTCCTACATTTGATGAGCTCATGTGAGRTTAAATGTTTGTATCACTACGGTACAACCAGCAGAAAGTGTCCATTGGACAGAATATTTTACGCCCTGATTAGACTGTATTGGAGGAGCTGCCTGTTCTGATATCTATAAAAAAAATTAAAAACAGAATGAATGACAAAAATATATATATTTTGAATTCCATTTAAAATGTCAAAATAGTTCAAAAACACACAGAACAAAACAGTAAACCTCAACCTTGATAAGTAAGTGCGTAAATCCTATTTTGTTCATAAGGACCAGTTCACAACTGCAACAGTCAGGTACAGATTTAAGTCCAGTTACATTCAGTCTTGTTCAATCAAAGTGTGTAACAACTCAATCATTTTCAGTAGTTTACTAAAGCCAACTTGTAAAAAGTATCTAATAAATCAATGGATTCCAATAAATCTTAAAAAATACACATATTGCATCTTGATTTAATAAATGACCCAAAAAACAAAGCAACTTGAATGTTTAATTTTTGTTTGGTTTGATGTTTATTGTATCATTTCACTAAGTGTGATGAGAAAAACTAATGAAAATCTTTCTGTCTTCCTACTAGATGCAGTGTGGACAGCAAAGTGTCACGAGTGGCTTGGCTCAATCGCACCACCATTCTGTTTGCAGGAAGTGAGAAGTGGAGTCTGGATCCTCGCGTCACCTTGATGGAAAACACTGCTATCACGGAGTACAGCATCATGATTCAAAATGTCGATATTCATGATGAGGGGCCTTATGTCTGCTCCATCCTGACCGACAAAAAACCAAAGTCCACAAAAGTGCATCTCATTGTTCAAGGTAAGATCCTTTTCTCTGCTGAGATATACAGATGCACCGATAGAGGTCTGTGCTTCTTTTCTTTACCTTGTTGATTTTTTAATTTGTTCTTAGATTTAAATGTAAATAGAAAATCAGTTTCCTGGTTTAGCCTGAAGTGCTGGTGTCAGTGTATCTTGAAGTTTTTTTATGAGGAATGGTAGGACAAAGCAGATGATGGGGCCTTATCTGCAGTAAAGAGAGCATTGTTTCTCTCTGCTGTGGTGAAGAAACAATTGAGTTAAAAGGAAGAACTCTTGATCGACTGGTCCATCTAGGAGAGAAGCTCCGTCGTTCGAGRGGAGCTCAGAGTAGAGTTTGTTTCTTTGCAATGAAAGGTTGTTGGAGCTGCTGATTAGGTTTCTTTGAATATGTCTCACTGGTATGATACAKTGGGGCAGACAGAATTCACTGAATGGATTACAGTAGTCATGTAATCTGACCTGTAGCTGTAAGTTTTGAACATTTGGTTAACCAATGAAGCGTAATTGTCAACTAATTATTATTACTTGTTGGTGAGTTGGACCAGATGACAGGAGAAGATGCTAGACTGCCCTTGGCAGCAGAATCCCCACCTCCAACAGAGCTTCTTTTGAATCCCAGCTTAGGCAGAAACATTCAGTCCAAGTGGTCCATGTTCCACATCTTCAATGTGCCCTGAGCTGTGACCATAATGTTGTTTTTGCCTCTTGTGATGGCCATCCCCAAATCTTATGAGAAGAAGATTCTGTCAAACTGTTAGGTGGCTGAAGCAAGGGAAGCAGCACATTAAAGGCACAGTGTGTAGGATTTGTTGTTTTCAGNCAGAAACAGTACTATATAACATTTTAGACACATTCTAGACAGTTTATCAGCTAAAAAAAGTTAATTTTGGGGTAAGTTACTCTTTAAGACCTTTTTAATACCACCTTGAATAAAATTTAAGACTGAACATATAAGCGATGGTTCAGGGATTCTACTGTATTACAACCAAACACAAGTGTGTCACTCAACAAAAAGCATTGAACATAAAGATATTTAGCTYTCTGGTTAAATTAGCTGTTAAAGTGCAGTTATTTGGCTGGAAACAACCAACATAAAATACATCTACTAAAAACATTCATGACATGAAACTTGTGTTTTAACCTCCAGTTTTGCCTTTATACAAAAAGAAGTCATCCAGCCAGCTGTCGATAAACAACAGGCACTTTAACCTGCAGCATCACTATCCAACAAATGTCTGAAGGAAGACAGAAGTTTGAACAACTTTCCTGTACTTTATTTTTATCTAATATCAGTCTTTTGAATTGAAGTGCTCTGATATAGTAGAAAAATTATAGCACATAAAGTTCCTTTATAAAGAATAAATTACAGGTAAGTTCTTTTTAATTTTTTGAAATAATTAATTAATTTTCTTGTTTATTTTTTGAGTTTGACATTTCTCCACTAAAGTCAACATGTCATTTCAAGGGAATATTTACAAGATTATAGCTCGTAGGTTGGAACTTCTTGTGGACCATTTTTTTCTATTTCCACCACAGGTTTTCAGTTGGGTTGWGATCTGGACTATTTACAGGCCATGACATGGACTGAATGTGTCTTTCTCCAAGGAAAGCCTTCACTGGTTTTGCCCTATGGCACGATGCATTGTCATGTTGGAAAATGATTTCATCACCTCCAAACATCTGTTCAATTGAAGGGATGAGAAAACTGTCCAACATGTCAATGTAAACTTGTGCATTGATAGAAGAATGAACCACAGTCATCTCCACAGTGCATTTGCCTGACATGCAGCTCCATATCATCATCTCTGGTGTTGGAGCCATGACTCATGTCAGTCCGCTTGGTGCAACAGCTCTCCAAGGTGTGATCTCTCCTTTTTAGATGCAGACTAATGAGCAGATCTAATCTGATGCAGGTGTTAGTTTTGGGAATTAAAATTTACAGGGTGATTCCATAATTTTTGCCAGGGGTTGTAGTTAGAGAACTTATCAACAACCTGCTACAATCAGTATTTTTATTCATTTTTCTTTTCCTTTGTGCATTGTTGTTTCGGCATGTTAAGAG